AGTTCGGCATGGTGGAGTTGTAATATGACATTTAATGTAAATACATTGAAATTTGGGATCATGGTAATCATATTAGAGAGAAGAGAGAGACAAAAATAATCTCAAATTTAAATACAAATTAATTAAAATTATAACTCAAGGATGGATATGTAATTGGACGTATTAGATTTTTTGTAAATTTACATTATTGCCATTTCTGGCCAGCTGGCCACATAGATTAATCGTTATTATTATTGGGTGAGAAAAAAATTGAAATTATGATCCCAAAACTTCTGATTTTGAAATAGGTTCTTTTATTACAATTTCTGAGATTTTGAGTTTTGAATTAGCTACTGAACTGGCGAGCAGGGTTGAAATTAGGTATGGTTTGCCCCAAAATGGTCGAGATGATGACGTGTCTTCTTCGGAAGATATTGAAAAAACGCCGGAAGGGTACCTGCAACGCCGGGAGGAGTTTTCCGGCGTAGAAGCTCCGACGATCAAGTCAGTTAATATTCATAGATGAACGATTGTAATGAGTAAGAGAGAGTATATCCTTGAAACGTTGAGAATAACTCCCTAGTTATATGTGAGGATACTTGGTGGGTAAGAAATAAGCAAATTTGTCCTAACTTCTCTTCTTGGGCCTGCTATGACTTTGGGCCAAATACTAGTGAAAATCCGAAAACACCTCCCTAAGGTAAACTGAAATGCTAATTGAAGCGGGACTTTTACTGAAATTGACTTATTTGCAGCGATAGTCTCATTTGTCAATTTTCTAACTTTCTAAAATAACCGTACTCTCTCAACTAAAAAAAGTCGAAAAATTGACGATGAATGTACAAACAAGTACAATAATCCGAATATGTGTTATCATGTTCCTCAAATAATTACAAAATTCGATATTTAAAAAAAATATTAAAAAAAATAAAAAATAAATAAAACTTTAAGTTCCCGTTCTGCAGAACACAAGAACTTGAATAATCTTCAAGTTCCCGTGTTCCACAGAACGGGAACTTCATTTTTTTGAGTCCTCCGTTCTGCAGAGCACGGGAACATGAAGATTATTCCAGTTCCCGTGTTCTACAGCACGGGTGATTCATATTTAAATTTATTTATTTCTCCAAAGATAAAAATTCAAAAAACAGTTTGAAGGTCCCGTTTTCTGGAGCACGAAATTTTGAATCTCCCGTTTTCTGGAGCACGGAAACTAGAAGAAAATTCAAGTTCTCGTGCTCTGCAGAACGGAGATTCAAGTCGTTTGAATCTCCCCGTTCTGCAGAGCACGGAAACTTGAATTTCCTTCGAGTTTCCGTGCTCCAGAAAACGGGAGATTCAATTTTTATTTTATTTTCGAAATTTTGCTAGATATAATCCTAAACATGTGTTTTTACCTAAATTGAAAATAAAACTTATTAAAAGTAGTAGGATATTGAAAATGTACCGGAATCGAGCCTCGTTTGCTACGGTTTCGAAGTCGAAAAAATTTACGAAATTCAAATTTTTAGAGAGAGTTTGGCAAGAGGAGAGAGAAATTGAAAAAAAAAATTAATGAAAAAGTTTCCGCAGCAAATAAGTCTATTTTAATAAAAGTTCCGCTGCCAATAGCAACACCCTAAGGTAAAAGGTACATGAAAAAGGAACACCTGAACACACGTGTCAGACGGGTTTTGCCAGCGTGGACAGTAGCTCATAAATGCCTGATCCTTTGAATTCATACATAATACATTATATTATTTATTTCACTAAAAAATAAATTTCTCTCTCTCATTACATTTCAAAAGCCAAAGAAATAGAGGGGTTTGCATGCTATAAGGATAAACTAGGTGGTAAGCTTTCTTCAAATCTTTTTCTTTATTTATTTATTTATTTATTTATTTATTTATTTTATTTGATTTGTTGTGGGTTATTCATGTGCTTCTGCAGTTGTACATTTGATTTTTGTTTGCTTGTCTATGTTGTACCATTCCCAAAAGCTTCACTTTCATGGGGTTTTTGTAAGAGAGATGAACCTAAGTTTTTCCCCTGTTTTTAAGGGTTTTTATGTTGCTGTTTGATTTTTTACATTTTATGGGTTCTGTAGGAATAATTTTATTTTTCCATTTCAATTTTCGAGAAATTATTAAAAAAAAAAATTGGGGGTGTTTTTCATGAGAGTTTAAGGTAAATTTGATGTTTTCTTGATAGGCATTGGTTAAATGTTGTGTTGTATTATATGAACAGAGTGTTTAATTGAGGTTCGAAAACGGCTGACAGGGTTTCCCCGTAACGGTGTAGGATTTTCGGGGTGATAAATTTTCGATTTGAAACATGGAGCTAGATTTCTTGTCAATATATTTTTTTTTTTAATTTGACAATCTAGGGAAATTCAATTTTGGAATGCATTATTTATAAGTGATCATGGTTCACCGGAATTCGGTTATAGTTGCCGGAATTGAAAATTCCGATCTAAAACGTTTTAGATCGGAATGTGTGTGTTTGTGTATGTCTATGTGGAAACGGCGGAAAATGGCAAATTGTTGTTGCGGCGGATTTTTCTAGGTTTCGAAGCGGGGAATTTTCGAGAATGGAAACCTAGTAGGGTTTCGAAAAAAATTTGGATTTTACAAATTAGTCCCTTAATTTTAGGATTTTTTTTTTTAAATAAAGAAATGTTTCAAAATTTTGTAGTTTTAAAATAAAGAAATGTTTTAAACTAAAAATTACTACCTACATTTATATTTTCGGACCCTTTTTGCCGTTTTAGAGGTTTTAAAAGATTGTTATAGTATGATTTTCGGAGTTGTAATACTCACTCGGTTTTCTTTTTAATTGTCTCTTTAGCCATAAAACCTTATCCCGTATTACGTGTCGCCTTAGACGAGTTAATTTCGTTTTACCTATTTTGTCCTTAATCATTAACGATTTTTGTCGATAGAAAAGATCATTTAATAGCTCTCTTAATATGCGTAAAGGGTAGTTTCGGGATTTTGTATTAGAATGAACGTCATTTATTAGGATTCTAGCATATACCTTAAACGACACTTAAAAATAAAACGGAGGACGTAATAATTTTGTATGTTTTTTCCAATATTAGTAACTTATTTTAAAAAAAAATCTAATTTTTAATATTTTATTTAAAAATAAAAAAGCTTCCATTTTTCGTTTTCCCTTTTTTGTATTACTTTTACACAATGTTGGATCCATTTGTTGTTGACCGATTCGAGTGTCTTTGTGCAGTATTTTTACTTAGTTTTATCTCGGCTAATCTCATCTTTGTGCAGTATTTTACTTAGTTTTATCTCGGCTAATCTCGTCTTTTGTGCAGTATTTTGATATGTTTTATTATTTAAGTTAATTAGAATTAGTCAAATTATATGTTAGTGGGTAGTTTTTTTTTATTAGTGGGCATGAATTAAATTAGTGGGATAGTGTAGTTAAGGGATTAGTGGGATGGTAGTTTAATTATTATTTATGAGTATTATAAATAGGGTAATTAGAATGTCACGTGATATGAAGTATTATGAAGTTTAAGAATCAATTAATCTCCTTCTGTCTTCTCTTAATTCTCGTCTCTAATTCTTCTTCTAATTCTCCTCCTAATTCATATCTCTCAATTTCTTCCTAATTCTTGAAACTATGTTTTCTTGCTCAAATTACCACGTAACATATTTGTGCGGTATTTCTGCACTATTTGTGCGGTATTTCTGCACTATTTGTGCAGTACGATGAAATTCGATTTCGATGTTTCTCATTGTTCTTCTATGTTATGTTGACAGCTATACATTTCGAACTCGACTCTCCAAAATACTCGAAAATGAAGAGGACCGGTTTAAACTCAGAGCTCACTCAGACAAACGCTTCATCCTCTAATAACAAACGTCTCAAAACCGAACATTCATCAGAAAACAGCAGCCGAATCGAGTCATCTTCCACCTCGCTGAACCCAAATAATAATAATAATCCACAAAATTCCACCACATGTGAAGATCAATCGATCAAGACATCCAAACAGAGCATAGCAAGATTCTTCTTCGAAAACGGGCTCGATTTCGAGTCAATAAATTCCCCGAGCTTCCATACCATGATGGGTCCCGCAAACTGCCAAATCCCCACCCTCGATGAGCTAAAAGGGCCGCTGTTTAAAGATGCATTAAAAGAAACTAACGAATATTTCAACGAGGCTAGAAATTCGTGGGTGCACACCGGGTGCACTATCTTGCTCGACGAATGGAAGGGTCAAACTGGGAGGGATTTGGTCAATGTTTTAGTTGACTCGCCGAGAGGAACCGTCTATCTCAGCTCGTACGATATTTCCGACTTTGTTGGCAAAAATGACGAAATGAAAATATTCTTCGAGAAAGTGTTGAACGAGGTAGGGATCGACAATGTGGTCCAGGTTATTACGTCGTCGAGTTCGGTGTTTACCAAGGAAGTGGGGAAGGAGTTGTCGGAGAAATACCGACAGATATTTTGGTCGGTGAGCGGTTCTTGCTGCATGCAGCTCATGCTGGAGAAGTTGATCGAAATGGACGTAATCAAAGAAACCCTAGAGAAGGCGAAAACAATTACGAGGTTTATTTACGGAAACCCCGACACGCTGAAGCATCTGAAGGAAAAAACGGAGGGCCGTGATTTGTTTCAGCAGAGTTCGAAGATCAAGTCGACGCAGCCTTTCTTGACCCTCGAAAACATCGTCTTGGAGAAGAAAACATTGACGAAAATGTTTCTCTCTCCTCTTTTTCTGATGAACGAGGGTTGGGAAAAGGTGGCTGATTTAGTGGGCGACGAATCTTTCTGGAAGGCGGCGTCGAACGTGCTCAAGGCGGCTATTCCTCTCGTTCGTGTAATAGAATGGATGAAGGGGTGCAATAATAAGGAGCAGATGGGGTATATCTACGAGACGATGGATCAAGCGAAGGAGGCTATAAAAGAAGGGTTCAAGAGGAACAAAGCGCAGTACACGAGGTTTTGGAAAGAGATAGACGAGGTTTGGACGGGTGTACTGTACAGCCCGATTCATGCGGCGGGTTACTATTTGAACCCGAAGCTTTTCTACTCTAGCGATATGTTTATCGACCCGGAAGTTGCGACGGGTTTGCTCTGCTGTGTTGTGCGCACGACCCGGGATCCGAGGGTTCAGGATCGGGTCACTGTCCAGATCGAGATGTACCAGAATGCCAAGGGCGCGTTTGGCTTGGGGTGGGCGGAGGAGCACAGATCGAATATTTCTCCGGGTTCGATTAATTTTCATTTTTTTTTTTAAATATATGTTCGAATTTTTTAATGTTCATTCATTCATGCATATCTCTTTCACCCGACATTCACTCGATATTCACTCGATATGCACTCGACATTCACTCGGTATACACCCGACATGCAATTTCAATATAATTGGTTTAAGTTGGATTAGAAAGCCAACAACAAATTTGATGTTTCGAGTTTTGCGTAATTCGGACTGAATTAGGGTTCAAAATCACATTTGAAGTCGAAAACGGTATTAAAAAATTTAAATGACATTTAGCACGGTATTAATTAATTCTTGATTTTATTTATTTATTAATTGTTAAATTTTAAAAAATGCAGCAAAGTGGTGGTCGAAATATGGGGTCGAATGTCCGGATCTACAGAAGCTGGCGACTCGAATACTGAGCCAAACGTGTGAGGGCGCATCGAAATTTCAGCTGAGGAGAAGTTCGGTGGAGAAGCTTCTCGACACGAGAATAAGTCGAAGGGAAAAGAACACGCTAGCCGATGCTGTTTTTGTCGAATACAATATGCAGCTGCAGAATTTCGGATCTGGTAAGGTAGGGTGCACGGGATCCGACGAAATCGAACCGTTGGACGATTGGATAGCTGATCAAGGACGAAACGACGGGGCAGCATCCAATACGACAGATCAAGGTGCCCTAAACTCGGGAGGACAGTCGGATTTTCATCCCAAAGTGGAGCCTGCGTAAGCTTATATCATGATTTTGTAAAATTTTATAGAATTTTAAACCTTTTTCTTGGACATCGATTTTGATTAAGTTCTTCGGGATTTATTAGATACTATACAAATGGTGGATAATGCAATTTGAGTGGATTGTTATTTAGGGAGGGAAATTGGAAACCGAACATGTCGATTTCGATATTTCCGATTTTGGAACAAATATTTTTGTTCCGAAATCCGGAAGTTTATATATGTATAAGTAACTAATCATAGGGCAATCCTAGTGCAACTATAGGGCAACCTAAAGGCATTTTTGTAATTATTTTTGTTCATTTTTCTAATTAATTTTTTTTTCTGTCTTATCTCTTTATTTTGAGAAATTTTATTTCGTATGATCTTCCATTTTTTTGTTATTCCGCTTTCTGTAAATGACATCTTTGTAACTATTTTCTTTTTTTTAACGAATTTCTAATTTTTATATTTTTTTTTAAAGAATATTTTAGTCTACACATTTTTAGAATATTTAATTTAAAATTTTAATAAATATTTATATCATGAACTTAACTTTTAAAGATACACATGATTCATATATATTTATAAATATATCATATCTTATGTTATATTAACTTCGGTGTATATTAATCATGTGTATGTGCGTCTTGAAAAGCTTTACAAAAAATGATTTTTAATTTTAGCACAATTATAAATTGGTAATTATCATTATTATATTGTACTGATTTTTTGGTATACCAAAGTTTAGCGTACCAAATATTTTTGGTAAGGCTACAATAATGAATTTCATAATACAAAAATTTCAGAAACGGTTTTCATATAATGGATTTGATAGGATTGCCCTACCAAACCCACCTCTAAGAATACTAATTATACTCCAAATTACGATTCAATTTGAATTTCCGAAAACATTTTTGGAAGTTTTGCCTTAAAAAAAAGTACACTTTAAATGTCAATATTATTATGTATTTTTTTTTATTATTAGGTGACAAGAAAATTGAAATTCCAATCCGAAAACTTTTGCTTTTGTTTGCTTTTGAAATACTCCCTCCGTTTCAAAATAATTGTCGTTTTAGGTTGTTGCGCACATATTAAAAAACTAATAAATATGCGTGAATTTTAGGAAAATACATATAATATGACTAAAATACCCATGTAATTAATTATATCTGAACTAATTAAGAGTAATAAATAATAAGTGCATAGTTGAGAAAACAATAATTAATGCATCATTGAAATTTTTAAAGTGAAAGATAATATAGAACAAGAAAAAATATCCAAAGCGACAGTTAATTTGGAACGAAGGAAGTATGTTTTTTAATAACAATTAAAATTTTGATTTCCGAATTTTCTATAAAATTTCGTGACAGGTCGAAATTAAGTACGTTACTTTTTTTGTTGGATAAATTACAAACACCTTCCTGAGATAAAATGTAACTACAAAAAAATCCCTTATTTTTAAGAAACTAAACTGAGCCTCTATAGTTTATAAATTTCTTACATCCACTACTCCATAAAAGAGTGTTAATATAAAAAATCTACAAACTACAGCTATTGATGTAATTATAGAAAATGAGGGATTTTTTTGTAAATAAATCTTACTTAATGGGTGATTGTTATTCACTAAGGCCTCATTTGGTTGACAAGATAAGATTAGCTAACATAAGATTAAATAATCTAATGAAAACCCAATTATTTTACTGGACCCGAGATGTCCAACAAAAAAATCTTCTAAAAGGCAAGATAAGTCATGATCACGTAATATTGGCGGGTCGACTCGATAAGTCATTGAAAATATCATACATCAAACAATGTACAATTATTTAGTTAATAATGATTAATTTTCATAACCAAACGAGGCCTAAAGTGTTTAATTTCAATCCGATTCCTTCGGTTTTTACTATAGTAAAGTGCACATATTGCAATTTGCATGCATTATTAGTGGTGTAGCTACAAAACTAGAAATTTGAAGATAAATTTATACATTGTCCATTGTTACAGGCAATTTGAGTTTTTCCGGCAATGGTGATTGTGAACCACCTACAAATTATTATTTATTATTAATTAAATACTCACCGCCGTCGATCACCACGCGCCTCCTCTCGTCTCACTCAGGAGGCGAGACCGGCGCGCGGTCAGCTCTAGTCAACAGCCAATCGACGACTTCTCCGAACACGAGCTCGACATTTTCCTCCGGCTCCCCCACCAGCTGGTGCCACATTTCGGGATAAATCCTCAGCGTCTTGTCCTTGCTGGCGGCGCGGCGGTGGAGATCCTCCGCGCAAGCTGGATCGCAGACGATATCGCCGCCGCCGTGCACGATCAGAAACGGGACATCTACTTCGGCGAACTTGTCTTGCACCTCTCTGCACACCCTCAGCAACTCCTGCGCTGTGGCGGCGCGTGGGCGTAGCAGCGGCCGCCTAGGGCTTGCTAGTGCCAGTTTTCGTTTCCAATCCACCTTTTTATTTTTTTTAATTTAATTAACAATTCAATTAATATATATATATCTTCATTTCCGCAGTAATTATCCAATTAATTTCAAAATATATTACTCAAATTTATTAAATCTGAAAGAAAGGATTAAAATTACCTTGAAGGAGACGTTCGGCAAGGAGCCGCGCGTGGGAACCACGCACCAGGTAGGGATCAAATACGCCGCAATTGAAAGGAAGTGCTCCAGCGGCCACGGCGGCTTAAACTTGTTACTAATCCCACACATCGCCCCGTTCAAAACGACGCCGTCGAACCCCCTCTCCGGCACAATCCCCTCGCGGCGGAGCGTGATCAGCAACGCGATTGCCCCGCCCAACGACTCCGCGTACAGGAACGCCGGCAAATCCGGCGCGTGCTTCGCTCGAAAGCCGTCGAAGAACGAAATGCAGTCGTCCACGACGGCGTCGATGTCCGGCACGTGCGCGACGAGCCCCTCGGAGAAGCCGTGCCCCATGTGGTCGATGGCGCAGACGGCGAAGCCGTGCTTCGCCACGTGGACGGCGGTGAGCTGGACGAACCAGCTGGACTCGCCGGTGTAGCCGTGCACCACGCAGACGACGCCCTTGAGCGGGCCGGCGGGCTGCAGTGGGGCCCACCACTGGGTGAAGAGCTTCAAATTTTGCTTGCCGGTGATGTACTCGGAGCCGTGGCTCACTGAGTGGTGGGCGTAGAACTCGTCCTGACTCAGTGAGCCGAAGGGGCTCGTCTCGTTGGCTTCTGCTATTGGGTGCTTGTACTTCGACATTGTTTTTGTAAATTGTAGAGAGAGAAAGAGAGTAGAGAGAGAAGCTGTAAGGTAGGAAGGAAGGTGAATAATTGAAACTAACGCTGCCTTAGTTAATCGGCCTTTATTGGTTCTTGTTGGAGGAATGATCTGGTGTAACCGAGTGCACCGGAACAGAATTTATTGAATGTGCCCTAATTATTGATTATTTTTATTATTTTTATTATTTTTTTTTTCATCGAAAGGAAATATAAGTGGTTGCAAGTTGCAACCCCCAGCATGGGCCTTATCGCATTAATTATACCCTAATTTTGGAAGTTACACATAGCCTCCTGAGGTTAGGACAAATTACACCTAGATCCCCTTAGGTTTTAAAATTTACAGTAGAACGCATCTATAAAATCAAGGGTAAATTACAACTACCCCTGATGTATGGTCAAATTACGAAAACCCCCCTCTTGTTTGGATAATTATAACCACCCCTCAACTCCTCAAATTTAGTGGAATCTGTGGAATATTATCACTTTTGTACTCGTTTTATCTCATTCGAACTCTATATTTTGAAGCAAGATGGTCATAATATGTATTTTTTGGCTTGCATATATCAGATTGTGGTGTATCGGAAACTGTATTTTTACACAAAACGAGTACAAACTAGATCACATTCCACGAAATTTAGATGATTATGTTGAATTTGACATCATAATGGTGGAGGTGTAAGAAAAAATCATAGTTGAGGGGTAGATGTAATTATCCAAACAAGAGGGTTTTTTTTTAAATTGACCATACCTCAAGGGGGTGTTTGTAATTTACCCATAAAATCAATAATTCAACTACTATCAGCAAACAATTAACTTGTGAAATTAGGTAAGAAGTCATACTTTTTGAATGTAGTGACATCAATCCCTTGTGATATTACCGGCAACAACAACTTATTAATAAAAAAAATGATAAATAACACTTAACCCCCATGTAGTTTGAGCTTTATGCAAACGACCCTTTGTAATTTCAATATAACCACATGACCCCATGCAGTTTTAATATAAGTACATAACCCCCTATAGGATTCCACTTGGTAAATAATCATACGCTCATTAGGAAGATGAAACTTTTGAAAGTACAAGGGGTCATGTGCACAAAGTTCAAACCACAAGGGGGTAAGTGTTATTTACCCATAAACCAGTAAGAAGTTATAAAATATTAGGTCTAAAATCCAAAATTAAAATCCCCAAATATTACAATATGAAAATTCATCTATTTGAATACAACAAATCTGTACAAGTCCAAACTTCCATTACTGCTGTTTGTTTCAGCTGCTCTCTTCATCATCTTCAATACAAGCTGAAGGAGGACAAAAAAGTAATTATTAAGATCACACTTTCCGATTGTTAACTAGCACATACAAGTACAAATTACAACTAGAATAATAAACATATCGAACACTAAACGAAATACCCCATCGCTTAATAGAACGTTTGTCTGTTTATTTCAAGTGAAGTAAAGATTAACAGAGAAACGAAGATATGATGAGTTTATTCACCTTCGTAATCATTCTACCGAAAACCCATCCAAACACTATTCTACTCCCCGTTGAAAAATAACATCTTCTAATTAAGTGACTTACACCTCAAGTCATTTTACCCACATTAGATTCCATTTTATCAGTTATTTCGAATTTGCTCTCGTATTCGTATTCACGGAGAAGAACAAACGAACTTTTAGTGGGGTTTTGGGGGATAAACTTATAAATCAGGAAACAAACGAACTTCTATACACAACCCCACTGAAAACAATAGTTATGCATGTGGTCCCGTGACTTAATCGATTGATAAATATCGAGATCCATTGAACACTTCTACACACATTCTCATATGGCGGAACAACTCCCTTCTTTCCCACACGTTCAATATGAAGTGTACATACATGCATACATACATACATACATATATACATTTCTTTGATATATATTTTCAACGTTAAGCTAGACAGACGTGCGATAGTTGTTATAGAACAAAAGGAATAATTATTGAATATACGATGGTCTAGTGATCACTGATTAATCTTTTCATAACCTACATATAAATTCGAGGTACCTCTAAATCATAAAGCGTGGGCAAAGCAATTAGCAAGAATTAGGAGTGTATGACCGAATCCAGTCGAGCCCGACTCACGATTATTCAAGCTTGTTTGAATATTTAATCGAGATTCGAAAGTTGCATCAGCAATAATCCGAAAAAACTCCAACTTTGTATTTTCATGAAGTTTTCATACATACCCAGAGTAATATCAACAAACACTTGGTGTGCACAAACAAAATTCAATTCACCTTCATCAATATTCTTCAATTAAAAAAAACACACACACACACACACAAAGTAAATTAGGGTTACCTCCGCAGCAGAAACAGCAGTAACAGCAAGAGAGAATCATGAGGACCTCTCTGCAAATAAGACCAATTCCTCCAGACGCTGACTTTTCCGAACCATTTTCATCAGTTTCCAATAGCTTCTGCTGATTCCCGTCGGACCGATTTGCTTGCTGATTTTCATCGTTCATTCGACTGAGATTCCATTCGAGTTTCTTCAAGTAGTTGTTCTTGAAGGAGTCCCTTAGCCTCATCGACGGCCATAAGTGCATCTTTCTAAGCAAATCTTTGCAGAAAAAAGAGAAAAAAAAATTGATTTTTGGGATTTTCGAAAACGATGTAAAAAATAATTGGGGATGGTTCGAATTTTAAAACTTGAAGTGAAGGCGTTAATGGCGTTTGACGGGTCGAAGAAAAACCCCCAATTGCAGTAGGTTAGCAGCTGTCATTTTCTTTTAATTGCGCAATTAAAGATGCTAATATCAAAACTAGTGACGTATTAAGTGAATTAGCTGGTGTTTTTGGCTTTTTTGGCAAAGACAACGGTAAAATCAAGGGTAAAATTCATTTTGCAAAGTAGCATTTTGTTAATTTGCACCCTTGAAAAGAATTAACAGTACTTTGCACACTTGAAACACAATAAATCGTGCACATATGCCACCATAATTGAATATTTAAAACTTAATGAGGGTAAATTCATTTTTAATGCGTTTATTGAATTTCTAGGGTGCAAAATAATAAATTAAATTGTTGAAAAATAATTTCGACTGTACAAAATGCGAAAAATAATTATTGAAAAAACTATATTTCTTACTAAAAAAATATTTTTTTCTCACTAAATTATTCAATTGATTGATCTTTATTTAATTAGCGAAAATATTTGGTATAAATCTTTGAAAGAAAATATAATTTTTATATAACTTGATAACAAAATAATTGAATGATTCTTTTCGTTTTTTGTAAAATATATTTTTGTGATTTTTTTAAAAGATGTAGATGAGAAGATTTTTATTTTTCACTTTGTAGTTTCGAAAGGATTGATAAATTTAAATTTGACATTCTAAAAAAATTCACAAAAAATATAAAATTACCATCATTAGCTTTAAAAATTCATCCGAAAGACAAAATCAGAATTGCGTATTAGTAATATGTATTAAGACTATAACTAAATATCCTTCATATATTTGGTTCATTAAAATTCAAGCTTATATTTTTTATTTATTATAGATTTAAAGCATAAATCTCAAATGTTTCACCAAGTTTGATTATATTAGTTGATATCCAATCCTTGTCCCAAAACAAGGCTTAAATACAACCACCTCCCTGAAATAAAGTGTAATTGTACAAAAAAGGTTATGTTTAAGAAATTACACCCAAACCTCTATAGTTTGTAAATTTCTTACATCCACCTCCTACAAAAGGGTGCTCATGTAAGAAATATACAAATTAAAGGGGGAGGAACGTAATTATGAAAAATAGAAGGAGTTATTTCAGAAATAGATATTACTTTAAGGAGGCGGTTGTAATTTACCCTAGATATTTCAGGCAGTGGTGCCGTTTATTCTGCTATTCATAGAAAATAGAGATATTTCAGGCATGCCCTTTGTTGCTCTCTTCTTAATGGTTCCAAATTTCTCTAACCAACAAACTTTCTAAGCTATCAAAACTGAAAGAAACCAAAAAAAAAAAAATAATAATAATAAATAAATAAAAAATAAAAAATATCATCTCCCATTTTCTACAACACAAGAAAGGGAACCTTTTATTACAACACATGATTAATCACAAGTGAAGAAGAAACTTTTGTCCATGAAAGTGAAAAAATGTGGCTTCAAAGCTCAAAGGGGACTAATAATACGGGGAAAAAAGGCGGTCGTAATGGCCTCGTTGCAGTAGCTATAGACAAAGATAAATCGAGCCAGCATGCGATCAAATGGGCCGTTGAGAATCTCCTCAACAAGGGCCAAACCGTCATTCTCATTCACGTTATCCAAAGATCTTCTTCGGCTTCATGTACGTAAAAGTATCTTGTCTTAACGCATTTTTTAAGGTTATATGGTTGGCCCTTTTTCCCACGGCTATATTTCCGTTTTCGAAGAATCTTATATTTTGGAAGACTGAATTTGAAAAATAAAGTGTTGTTTGTTTGTGTATTAGTGATGTGTGATTATATATTCTTAATTCGATTTTGTCTTATGTAATGTAAGAGCCTTGAAACTGCTTGTTATTCAGTGGCGGAGCCAGAATTTTATGCATATCTGTTTATATGTATATATATATAAATTAAATCCTTTTCTACTTACACACTAATTAAATTTGAGTTTTCTAACAACTACTATGATTCTTTTTCATTGTCCTAAAATTATGCAGATTGCAGCACATTTGGTGGTGTTAATGGTCTCTATAGAACAGGTTGTGTCAACAAGCAAGTTCTCGATAAGCCGACGAAAGAGATTTTCCTCACCTTCCATTGCTTTTGCACTCGCAAAGATGTAAGCTCAAACAAACGTAACGTTTCGGTTTTTTATTTTTTATTATTTTTATATTCTTTCTTTCGAATATCAAGAATCCGATTTTTTTTTTTAATTTTTTTTTTATAACAGATACAATGCTTTGATGTTGTGCTTGAAGACACCGATATATCAAAAGCAATAACGGAATACGTCGCTCATGCTGCGATCGAAAACTTGGTTCTTGGCGCCTCGCGTCACGGATTTATCAAGCGAGTTTTCTTACTTCTAAGCAAACATAAACTAACAAATGTTTTAATATTTTATTTATTTATTTTTGTACTAAAATAAAGATTCTCTAACAAAAAAAAAAATCACAAATGTTGTTTGTAGCAGAAGATTGAAGATGGTAGATGTTCCCACTAGTGTATCGAAGGGGGCACCCGATTTCTGCACCATTTATGTTATTTCGAAATCGAAGATCTCCTCCGTTAAAAACGCGTCTCGTCTAGCACCATTCGCTTCTCCTCTCACTAATCAAATACAGCAAATGCACGAAAAACCTACTACCCCAGAGCCTACCCCACCCGAGCCACGCCCCAAACAAACCCCTAGCATGCGAGGTATTTTTATTTATTTTATTTAAGTATACTATTACGTTCAAAATTGGAATAAAATTTCCAATTTTTGCGGTTTTTATCCGATTTCGAAACAATGTTATACATGCCGAATTCCAAAAATCCGATCCCGAATTTATTTTATCGGAATTGGAATTTATATAGGATACGAAAATACACCCGAAGATTCCATTTCTCCCGGAAAATTACTCTATATGATACGAATATTATAGGTGACAAACATTTGATTTTTCCGAATTCCACCAATTTCGAACCGAAAATTTCCTATATTGGAACGAGTTTTCTCATTCCAATTTTCGATTATCCGACTTTTTTTTTTTTTTTGTAAAATAATTAGGATTAGTTTTTCACTCCCAAAAAAAAAGTCAGTGTTTTTTTCTTTCAAAAGTGCTTATTCTGATCCGATTCGTTCGATTTTCACCTCTAGATAATATGACGTATATTTTTTACTGACATAATAAATCTCTACATATAAATTTGTTCGAACAGGAGTAGAAAGGACACCGCGAAAGAGCACGGTTGACGAAACCGATTTTCTAATCAAGTAAGTCCTCGTGTTACACCCCCGTCCCATATCGATTATTATTATTATACTTCCAATATATATATATATAAAATTTAATTGATTAATTAATTTATTTATATGTGGTTTTGTAATAATTAAAACAGGTCACCTTTTGTGGGAAGAGGGTACAATCCAAACATGTTTTCTGAGCTGCCAGAATATGATACTGATATATCATTCATAAGCTCAGACAGGCCTAGTACAGACAGGGGTAGTATAGTCATTGATCCCATGTCAAATATGCTATTCGACAGCGTTGATTCGTGCCGAACTTCGTCGAGGATTTCGACTAGCTCCGACAGTAGTTTTGGATCGACTCGTTCGGCCACCAAATTCAGCGAACTAAGCTCTTGCACGGATTTTTCGTCTTCCTCGCTCGAAAACGTAAGCCGTTTTAATCGTGTTTATTGCATTCAACACCCTTGTGTTTACTTTAAATTATTAAAAAAACTCCTCGTATTATAAATATTCGCAAAAAAAAAAATTATGCAGGATGAAGTGGAAGCAGAAATGAAAAGGCTAAAGCTTGAGCTGCAGAAAACAATGGAGCTTTACAGCACAGCTTGTAAGGAAGCTCTAACAGCAAAACAAAAGGTACTAGCTATTTTTTTTTTTTTTTAATAATCTAAAAACAATGTTTTTGTTGAAATAATTATAGTAAATAAATTAATTAATAAATACAGTTAAACTTCTATAAATTAATATATCCCGTGAGTAGAGAAATTCTATTAGTTTAGAGAATTATTAAATTATCGAATAAAGCGAGGTTATTAATTTATTGAATATTAATATATCGAGGTTCTACTGTATAGGCTGTTGAGCTTCATCGGTGGAGAATGGACGAGGAGCGAAGACTGGAGGAGGCTCGTACGTCAGAAGAAGCAGCGCGGAAAATGGCGGAACAAGAGAAGGCAAAGTACAAGACGGCATTGGAGAGCGCTCAAGCGGCTCAAAGAATTGCGGAAATGGAGTCGCAAAAACGAGTGATCGCGGAGCAGAAGGCGCTCCGCGAGACGACCGAAGAGGGGGATAGGGTGTTGAGTGTGGCGACTTTGAGGTATAGAAGGTATCCGATTGAAGAGATCGAGGAGGCCACCGAGTATTTCGCCGAGTCGCGCAAGATTGGAGAAGGCGGTTATGGACCGGTGTTTAAGTGCTATCTCGATCATACACCGGTTGCGGTTAAGGTGTTGCGCCCCGATGCCGCTCAAGGGAGATCGCAGTTTCAACAAGAAGTAAGTCGAAAACAAAACTTGTATATATATTATTATGTATTTTATATTTTAGGTGATTATAAACTGGAACCGAAAATTTCCGATTTTGAAACAAGTTTTTTGTTAAATACATTTTTCAAAATTCCGATTTTCTCGATCATTTTATTTCGGAATGTGTTTTATATTTCGTTTTGATTGTAATGCAGGTTGAAGTGTTGAGTTGCATGAGACACCCTAACATGGTCCTACTCCTCGGGGCATGTCCCGAATACGGCTGCCTCGTTTACGAGTACATGGCCAACGGCAGCCTAGAGGACCGTCTCTTCCGAAGAGGAAACACCCGCCCACTCACGTGGCAGCTCCGATTCCGAATCGCCGCTGAGATCGCCACGGGCCTCCACTTCCTCCACCAGACGAAGCCCGAGCCGCTAGTCCACCGCGACCTGAAGCCGGGGAACATCCTCCTCGACCAGAACTACGTCAGCAAAATCAGCGATGTGGGACTGGCGAGGCTGGTCCCGCCGTCCCTGGCCGATGACGTCACCCAGTACAGGATGACGTCGACGGCCGGGACGTTCTGCTACATCGACCCCGAGTACCAGCAGACCGGGATGCTCGGGGTCAAGTCGGACGTCTACTCGTTCGGGATCGTCCTACTGCAGATACTGACGGCCAAGCCGGCCATGGGCTTGACTCACCACGTTGACCGGGCGATCGAGAATGGAAACCTGGCGGATATGCTCGATCCGACGGTCCCCGATTGGCCTATGGAGGAGGCGATGGTGTTTGCGAAGCTGGCTCTTCAGTGCGCCGAGTTGAGGCGGAAAGATCGGCCCGATCTTGGCCGAGTTGTCGTCCCCGAGCTTTATAAATTGAGAGAAGTTGGTGAAGAGAATATGGCATGTTTTCTAGTTGGTGGTGGTGGTAGTGCAAATCCCTCTCCTAGCCATAGCTTTGTCACTCCTACTAATCTTCTTACAAAGGTACATTTTGTTTTCGTAATATGGTCGTATTTCGAGGACCTCGAAAAAAATTAATGAGCTGGAAAATAACTCGAAGAAAGAAAACGTTCGTGCAGGAAGTCAAGAGCGATCCGCATTTCCCGTCAGTTTATAGTTGCGGTAACGAATGTGTAAGTTCGGCATCGCTGCCGGAAAAGTTAGAAGGTACGATCCGTTTTTTTATCCGAGGGTATTTTCGTCAATTTTCGGTTGAATGTTACGCGTGAAAAAAAATGTAATTTAGAATGCACTAATTTGTTGTAAAGGATTAGAAATGATCTCTAAAATTAGTTTCATTTTTTGCTATGCAGGAACTAATGATGAATGAAAAAACTCTTAACCATGGTTGGGTTAATAGTAGAAGAAAAGTGAGCTCGGGCTGAAAAATTGCTCAGAAGCTTGGTAATTATGGTAGTATATGTTTAGATTAGTGAGGATTGTAAAGATTTTAATGGCTGTTAATAATCCTTGTACGTAATATTACTAGCTAAGCCAGGATTTTAATTCGATTACATAATATTTTCATATGAATTAATAGAGATTTCGGGAAGTGTTTAGGGGGCCACGGCCCCGGCCATATACTGACTCCGTCACTTGTAAAGATTTTGATCTTGTATTCATTAGTAGGGATCTTATCGCGTAAAAAATCACTTTTAATGGTTCATGTTACATTAATTTTTCTTTTTATGGCTTTAGTTTTAGGCTTTTAGCAATTCAAATAATTGTAAGTATGAAAAACAATATTGTAAATAAATAATTATTCATAAAATTATGTACCTTTTTATTTGTGGAAACTATAAGCTACTAATTAATTCTATAATATTTATTTGGGTAAATTACAAACACCCCCCTGAGGTATGGTCAAATTACAAAAACACCCATCTTGTTTGAATAATTACAACCACCCCCCTCAACTCATCAAATTTAGTGGAATCTTCGAGATTATATGGAATATTATCACTTTTGTACCCGTTTTATCCCATTCAAACTCTACATTATGAAGCAAGATGATCATAATATGTGATTTTTAGCTTGTATATATCAGTTTGTGTTGCATCGGAAACTGTATTTTTTACACAAAAAGAGTACAAATTAGATATCATTTCACGGAATCTAGATGACTATGTTGAATTTGGCACCATAAAGGTGGAGGTCTAAGAAAAAATCATAGTTGAGGGGGTAGATGTAATTATCCAAACACGAGGGGGGTTTTTGTAATTTGACCATACCTCAGGGGGGTGTTTGTAATTTACCCTATTTATTTTAATTATGCAATACTATTTTTTTTTAAATAATGCATCACATTTTAAATTCGTTTATGCTCGATTCATTATTACGAATTTCGTATTTGACCCATAATTTTAAAAATAAAATTAAATAAATTAAATTAAAAAGAACTAAATCATCACAAATTGTATAAAAAAATAGTACAAATAAATATAAATTTGTAAAAATATTAATTGCTAATTTGGATAAAACTGTGAAGTGAAAATTCCACCTTACTAATTTAACCGGACCTTCATGAACACTCCTTCTGAAGCAAAACCGGTCCACACGAACCGCCCGACATTGAAGAAGAGCGATCATCTTCTTCCTCTCTTCCGTTCGAGTTCCGATACTCTGTGATTATCAGGCGCGAACGAGTACTGATAATTTAGCAGGTAGTATATCTTTCAATTTGATGTTTTTTTTTTAATTCAGTAAAGCTGTGGATTAAGTGCACGATTCAGATCCAATGGCTGCTTATCCGCTGTTTTTATGATCTGTTTCAGCTTCTCTTCGCGAACAATGGCGACAACTGACAAGCAGAGTGCTCTGGATTTCATCAACCAGATGTTTCCAACAGGTCACGTGATATTCATTCACACGCGCACTTTTATGTTTAGTATTTTGAGATGTTTATGTTACACATTTGATGAATTTTTTTTTTCCGATTTTAATTGGTTGGTTTTTTGTCTTTCTGAATTATTGAATTCATGTGGAGTGCATAATCTTTGCCTTCTAGGAATTGGAGTAGAATAGATGTTTTTTTTCATCTCTGTGGGAAAACAAAGCACAGTGATAATAATTTAGAATTAATTAGTATTCATGAAAAAATGAACTGAAGTGTGAATTTTCTTGCAAAACTTCCTTTATATTTGTCATGTAATTGAAAATGATGTTGAAGATTTTTTTGGCTGATAATTGGCTTATCAAATAGGTAGAGTTTGTCTTGCTTGTGGTGTCTTGAACCTTCACATATTTGTACTTCTTAGCAATTTAAGATATTTGCCTGTTGACGATGAGGATGCTGGTTGATTTGCAGAGACTTCTCTATCTGGTGTTGATCCCCTTATGCAAAAAATACATAGTGAAATTCGTAGAGTAGATGCTGAGATTTTGACAGCCGTTCGTCAGCAGGTTAGTATTTCTATTTAATTGGTTCTGTATGCGTTGAAACAGCAAAATTGAGGACTTCTATTTTTTTGATTTATTTGATTGTCGATGTATTGGTTGAATTACATTCTTGTAACCTATAATTGGATAGCTCTCATAAAACATTTGTATCAGAAGAACGTTAATGCACTGGCTGGTTTGCAGTATTTTGATTTGTTTGGGTTCTATAGACGAATCATGAGATCGTATGTTACTAGCTCAATGGGATAAGATCATGTAAGCTCACTCGATGTCCGTTTTTAGTTCATAGTTGTTAAATCTCAAAGTCGGTCAAACTCGTAATATTTGGGACTGGTTTGAACTTTGAGTTTAACTCATTTAGCAAATGTCAGTTAACTGAGTGTTTAAAGTCAGGTAACTCTATCCCAATTCAAAAGTTTAATATGATCTTTTCCCAAGATTGGAATGAATGTTAGAGAACCCTAGTTTGGGTGTCATGGAGGCTTGTCTTATGATTTCTGAGCCTGACGAAACCAAATCATCATTGTATTTATTGCATTCATATGACATTAACTGATCCAATTAAATTAGATCTCACGGCTAAAATGAAAATCTGCAATTACTGCCCGGTGGTAGATGTGGTAGTTGACACACTCTTGCTCATATCCAATATATATTACAAATTTGAACTCCAGGGGTAGTCTTATTGGCTCAATGTAAAAAAAAAGGATGTGCAACTTCTTTTTGTTGAATTATCCATAGATGATAATATATTACTTGACTTGAGGCAATGAATTGTATTTTTTTGTTATTGATCCATGCATAGACCTTAATCACGTTGATTTATGCATACAAGTTAATCACGTTGGTGGTTGTCATTGACTTCTTTCTTACACAAGAAATACATTTTTTGTTCTCAATAATGTTTCCTCTTGTTGACACTTGTTCGATGTTGTAACACTTGTTCAATGTCTATTTCACTTTATAGAGTAACTCAGGGAGCAAGGCCCGTGAGGATCTTGCTGCAGCAACTCATGCGGTTCAGGTTTTGCTCATTCTTTCATGAGTTAGTTACCCTGCAGAAATTTGGTTTAGCAACAGTCCTTTTATTCTACTGTCTGCTTGTTGGCTAATTTGATTTTACCACGTGGACCAGGAACTCATTCATAAAATGCAAGAAATAAAAACCAAAGCAGAACAAAGTGAAACCATGGTTCAGGAAATATGCCGTGACATCAAGAAACTGGATTTTGCGAAGAAGCATATAACTACAACTATTACAGCCCTTCATCGTCTTACTATGCTAGGTTAGTTTTCCACTCTTGATTCTCTTGAGAAGAATTTGATTTTGACTCTTTTACAAAAAAAATGTATATCTTGTTATGTTTGGGCTTTAAGTTTTTCAGTTCTTTTAGATTAAATACAGCCGACTTGACTACTTATTGAACTCTTAATGCTTGAGCATTTGGATACACCTAGACTGAAGATATTTGTTTCATGTTTTGTTCATACATTTCTGTTTGGTATTTGACAATTTGGGAAGAGCCTTTTGTTTTTCTTGCTATTTTTGGTTTTGGTTTATCAAAGCCAATTGTCAAGAACTTTGACAGTGACGGGATTAGTTTGATTGCTATTTTGCCATTTTAAGTTTTGATGGATTTTGAGTGGTTCAAGAAATTCCTGGGTAACATGGAAGATAACTGTCAGCTTATATTTATTTATGCCAGCAAACAAGATACATGTTCAAGTATTTCTGGTTGTAGAGCTCAAGAAAGGAAAACTAACAGATGTATATGAATGTCGGGAATAAACTATGGTGTATCGGGATCTGATAAACAGAGCTAAATATGCTTATGGGTCACCATCAACATATCTTTTTTGTTCTCCTTCCCTGCATTTCTATTCTTTGTTCATCATTCTACCATCATTTTGACAACTTTTCTTCAATCTCACATTTAACACTTGTGAATTCCTTTCCTCATATATCACTTGTTACAGGCCCAAGTATTATTCTGTTGAAATCTGATTTGTTTCTGCAAAAATGTAATTATATATTTTCTTTTTGTCACGCTGGAAATTCATTTGGGCCAATCTCATATATTAACACATGCAAAAGACTTAAGCGAGAGCAGTTTTTTCATGAGCTCTGGAAGAAGTTGAGTTTATAACTCATACATAATTGAGGTCAATATTTGTGATTTAAACTTGGAACTGCCTGTTGAGTGTTACGGAAGGGTCTAATAGAATCCATATCTTGCATTTTTGTTTAGTTGAGAAACATGCGGTCCTTGTCTTATTTAAAGAGTACGTCAGATATTAGCTACTCATTTTTTTTTCTTTTTAAATTTAGTCGGTTTGGCGAGAACTAATCCCGCCTTTATCTATCACAGTATCTGCTGTAGAACAACTTCAAGTTATGGCGTCTAAAAGACAATACAAGGAGGCAGCTGCACAGCTCGAGGTATTACATGGCGTGCACATGTTTTGCATCCTTTCTTGCCATTCATTGATACACACAGATCACACATTTCAGCTACATGAATCTTAGCTTAGGGTCGAACTCTATATTTATTGATTAAAGAATATCATGCACCATATCCTTAAAATTATTCTAATATGTTTAATCTAATTTAAATTTTCCTGTAATTCGTTGCTGGTGGATACATTTCAGGCTGTCAACCAGCTGTGCAGCCATTTTGAAGCTTATAGAGATTTTGAGAAGATCACAGAGCTTAGGGAGAAGTTTAAGAGCATCAAACAAATTCTGAAGTCACATGTGTTCTCGGACTTCTCTAGGTATGTTAAACCTGAAGTTTACTATCTGAAACAGAATCTTGTTTATATATTATTTCCAAAAGTCAAGTTTATGATAAGTAGCAACATGAATACAAGTTGGATTCTTTCCTAAACATATTATTTGGTGAGGTTTCATTTTATGTGATACATGAATTGTCCATTTTATTTTGTTTTCACTTTCTTCCTTTTATTGCCCTCCTTATCCTCTCTGTTAATTTGTCAAACCTCCTGCCAACTTCTTCTCTCCACAGCTTAGGCACAGGGAAAGAGACTGAAGAAACTAATTTACTACAGCAGCTATCAGATGCATGCCTAGTTGTTGATGCTTTGGAGCCATCAGTCAGGGAAGACTTGGTAAAGAATTTTTGCAGCAGGGAACTTACTTCATATCAGCAAATTTTTGAGGGAGCAGGTTTGTCTAGTTGCTTTATGTAAATTTCCGTTATCAGTTTCAATCTTTTCTGAAGTTGAGTTTGATGACATATGACTTATCACTTATTTTTGGTATATTCTATACTTGGCAGAATTGGCAAAGCTGGACAAAACAGAAAGAAGATATGCATGGATCAAACGTCGACTAAGAAGCAATGAGGAGATTTGGAAAATTTTCCCATCTTCATGGCATGTTTCCTATCTGCTCTGTATCCAGTTCTGCAAGTTGACGAGGTTGGTGATTTATCTCTCATTTGAGTTCACAGGTTAAACCTTTATTTTCAGTGCTTAAAATTGTGGCTAAACTGTCCCCCTCAGTTCAAATCCTAGTTTGACCCATATGATGACATCTAGCAATAACTTCAAGCAATTACTCATCTTTTTCTACGCTTGAGAATTGGAACTCATGTAGCAGCAAATTATATATATAATTTTGGTCTAAATCATGTAGGACCAGTGGACCACATGATATGCCGCGGGGTTATTACTAGAAAAAAAATGTTTTCTTTTCTTTTCTAGGGAGAGTGGGGACTTAACTATATCATTTTGTAATATGGATGTATGTTTATTGACTTATTCATTGAATAAGTGTTGGTGATAACAAATTTGTTGAATGCTTTTGTGCTGGCTTTTTGAGGTTATTAACTATAAAATACAACCACTTCTATTTCTGACAAAATATTATAGACTGTTCTAAGTTTGACAATATCATAATAACTCATGTAGGGTTTCTTTTTACGCAGGACACAAATTGTGGATATCCTCAACAATCTTAGAGAAAAGCCAGATGTTGGAATATTGTTACTGGTCAGTTCCTTTTCGATACATTGTTCCCTGAAGTAGTTCCCAAATTAATTATTCTTTGCCAGCATGGTGTATAACTCATTGAAGTGGTTCCCAAATTGAACTTTTTGCTCTGTATTGATGCCTTTGCATAATGACTTATCAGGGGATATATTCTGTAAAGTCTAGGATCACCTGCATGCTTCTTTGTGCTTTCTGTGTTTAACTTAGCCTTCGGTTTATCATGTTTTTTCCCCTCTCCCCTAGTGTATGTTTATTCATCCCGTTGTAAGCCCTTATAAGTTTTATATATTCTTAGATCTGCATGGCGTTATTTTTCTTTTCTGTTGATGCCAGGAAGTCAGGAACTAAAGATACAAAAGTTTTGCCAATGTAGCCTTTTACGTTGCTCCACCAATGATGATACATGTGAAAAATCTAAATATTTTGATTACACGGCATCATTATTTTTTCTATGGAACTATTGATCAGCATGTAGAAGTTTGAGGTTGCATATTTTCTATGTTGCATTGCTTGTTGCACACTCTGCCTGTCAAGCCACATCTACTAAATTTTAGAATTCAAAAAATAGATTTAAGATTTTCCACCAGATGATGCTTTATCTAGCAGTTTTACGTATGTGATGCTTCTAACTGATGGCCGCTTGTAGGCATTGCAACGAACTCTAGAGTTTGAGGAAGAATTAGCAGAGAAATTTGGTGGTGGAAGTCATAGCAGAGAATCAGGAAATGAAATTGGGGAAGATATTGTGGGAGATAACAATCAGATTGTTTCAGACATTCGAAAGAAATATGAGAAAAAGCTTGGTGCACATAACCGAAGTGAGAATGAGGTATGCATGAATTTGTAACTTGACTTGGTCAGTCTCAGATACTAGTCAAAGCTACATGCTACATCATGTTGCTCCTGCCTAACATTGTTATTTTCGTCAGCAGGAAAAGGATGGCTACAAAGATTTTTCAGTTCCTGGTGCTGGGGTAATTTCTCATATATGATTTTATTTATGAGCAACAAATGCATGCACAGACTTTTTATTACGACCAGACACAATCCTTCCCCCTATTAAGTATGATTGTATTAGTTTACTATCTTTACATTCATGGGCTTAGATAATTGAGTAGGTAAACATGAATTTTATATCTTGTTTGAGATGAGTTGGATTCTGTTTCCAACTCATACTGTTTTTTTTTGGGCAGTTGTTAGGATTTAACAGTATTTTTTAGTTTGTTCTACAACCTGTCAACAAGTCCATCTGTGTCATATGAGGATGCAGCTTGATTTTCATTTTTAACATGAACCTGAAAATGAAGGTGCTAATTTATGTTGTGTGGACTGCTATTGATTTACCTGGCAGTTCAATTTTAGAGGGATCATTTCGTCATGCTTTGAAGCTTATTTGGGGGTATATGTGGAACTGGAAGAGAAGACACTTATGGAGCATTTGGAGAAACTTATCCAGGTCTTGGTCATTGCAATTCTTTGTTGGTTTCTTAACTTTTAATTGCTGGTATGTTTACTTGCTCCTGACTAACATTTTTTCGTATATTATGCTACAGGAAGAAACATGGGACATTGAAGAGGGAAGTCAAACAAATATTTTATCCAGCAGTATGCAGGTAAAGAAAAGGAAAACATAGTGGCTATGGTGTTTTTCAAACAAACAATCATTTAATTATTGCATGTCAGGATATATCAGTTTATTCAATTTTGTTTATGTGTGTCTAGGCACTATTTCTTCTTCTATCCCTTTTTTTATCCCAAGAAAAAGTGAATCTGTTTTCATAACGGGGTTGGAGAAAACATATTGCGATTTTTGTGGAATTGGCATTCTTTGTGTGTCTTGCTCTATTTTCTCCGTAATTAAGACAAAAATGTAAATAAAGTACTATTTTATTGTTCGAGGTCCTCATACTTCTGAAAGTAAGGGGTCAACTGTCCTTTTAAATTACGCTGATGGAATATGTGAATTTCAAAAACATTGATAAAATTATGTGAATTTGAATATGTGAACTTCTTTTTATTGAACTCAGTGATAATTTAACGTGTACTTAATCCTTGCTTCTTGTTTTATGCAGGTCTTTTTGATTATTAGGAGGAGCTTAAAGAGATGCAGTGCTTTGACAAAAAGCCAGACGTTGTTTAATTTGTTCAAGGTGCGCTATTGAATTTCTGTTAATATGCCTATGGATAAAATAGATGAAAATTTTCTAGAGATTAAGAAGCATACTTTATTATATTAAAGATTTTGGCCAACCTGATACTTGCTATCCGTGCAGATTTTTAACTTTTTTGCATTTAATTATTTATTTAGTATTAATTGAATAGTTTTGCTCCAACCAAGAAAGGCAATTAGTGGCCCATTATAATTTCAGTCCTTCAATGTAAGCCGGCACTGATTTTCCTGCTTCATGACAAACTTCTTTCGGCAAACTTTTATAAACTTTTTCTTGATATTGAAACTTGTAATAAAATTTTGACAGATCAAGGAATACAGATAAAAAATTTACAAAATCTTAATATCTCACGTGATTTTGATGAAGAAATGATGTCTTTACAGTCATCTCGTTTAGTTGCACTGAAATGAATCTATAATGAGCTTCTACTTATGATTGTTCCAAGGGTTTAAAGATATTCAACTTTACGCTGTTATTGTAATAAGTGATGCGTGGTACTGTTCTAGTTCTGCATATATTCTATAACTAGGTATTTCCAACCAATTGTAGAGCCTTTTTACATCATGATTCCACTGTAGGTCTTCAATCATATAGATCCATTGTACATATTCTGAGACTCCATTATTCTGTAACTAGGTATTCCAAAGAATTCTTAAGGCATATGCTACGAAACTTTATGCAAGATTGCCGAAGGGTGGCACAGGAATTGTAGCAGCTGCCACAGGGATGGATGGCCAAATCAAAGTACCCTTTTGTTGTTTATTATTATGATATTATGCTGTACTTACTATTTATGCTCCCACTGACTGGCTGTTTTCTGCAGACATCTGACAAGGATGAACGTCTTATCTGTTATATAGTTAACACAGCTGAATATTGCCACAAGACGGTTCGTTTCTAAATGCTACCGTTATTGGTCATGATCAAATTAATTCTGTAAACTAGCATGCTGATTGCTTTTAAATGCACAAGATACAGAAGGATGTAATTCACAAATAGCTAGGCTTGCTTGTTAGTAGTACCTCAAATAGTAACTTGAGGATTTTATTGGCAAGAGAATCTTGATTTCTTGTCATGGAGTTCATGCATTCAAGACAGGCTTCTTAACCATGTATTGTTTGCATCGATTAGTCATTGAATTATTGCTAAATGAACCTCAAATAATGTCTGGGAAGTAAACTTTCTGTTGTCTTGATGTAATTATTGATTACATTTCTCCTAATTATAGAGTTGTAGCAAAAATAGCAGCAGCTTTTACGGGCGAATGTGACTGTTACTGCAGAATTGGGTCTTGCAGCAAAGATTTGGTGTTCTATTAGAGTAAATGGCATTCATCTATCAAATATCAAGTGAACCAGACACTTGATGTCTGACCTTATATAGATTTCTTGTATTAGAAAACATCTATTGATTTTAGTGGTATTCTCTGATTGATCAATAATATCGAGTGATTGGATGTTCAACAAGTCTGCTGTAGATTTTAGTCTTATATCTTATGAGAATAAAGTGGTTAAATATGATATCACGGTAACAACAAATATTTTTTATCTACATTTTAGTTCCTTTTACTTCTTTTTATCTAAGACTCACTCCCATTTTATATTTATCAGTCAGAGGAGTTGGCTGAAAATGTGTCCAAAATAGTTGATCCGCAATTTGCAGATAGGATTGACATGTCTGAAGTACAGGTAGAAAAATATTCATGTGTTCGTGTTTCGCCGCTGTTCCTCTCTCTCTCAGGCCTACATTTCATAAAGCTACTGTTTGTACCGTGCAGGACGAGTTCTCAGCAGTTATAACAAAAGCATTGATAACACTTGTAAATGGTATTGAAACTAAATTTGATGCTGAAATGGCTTCAATGACACGTGTTCCTTGGGGCACGCTTGAGAATGTTGGGGACCAATCTGAGTAAGATGCCCAGAAGTCAATAGCTGAGAAGCCGAATATGCCCTTTTATATGTTAATAATCTTATTTATATTCCTGCAGATATGTGAATGCCATAAACATAATCGTGGGTGCTAGCATTCCTGTGCTTGGACGGCTTCTTTCTCCTATATACTTCCAGTTCTTTCTTGATAAGGTGAATAAATTACTATTGTTTAATGTTCATCCACTTATATTGCTGTTCTTTAGTCTTGAGTATAGAACTTGTAGGTGCTGACTATTTATTTCCTGAGCAAGTACGTTTTTTATTCCCAAAATACATTAGCTCTCTAAACTATTGAATATACTTTGGAACTATACTTGGACTTGTTTTTGATCCCTTATTATTAGCCCTCCCTGGGTGTGCTTTGTAGAAATCTGTCTGTTTGATCTGAATAGGTTAGATTTGTAAATTCTTCCTGTTGCAATGCAAGGGAGGGTTTGAATAGAGAAATAATTTTTGCTGCATTATTTTCGTCTTCATGTTACGAGTAATTAATTAGTAAAGCTGTTTTCTTTCACCAAGTACTACATAGTTGGAGTTGGAAATTTCGCAGGCTTATACATGTACTTCTAATAAACAACAATTGCCTGAAACTGATGCATGATTATTCACTCGCTATTACATTTTCTATGATTCAGTGCTCATTCTTCTATTGATATTTGCAGCTTGCTTCATCTCTTGGTCCACGATTCTACCTCAATATTTTCAAATGCAAGCAAATATCTGAGACAGGAGCGCAACAAGTATTTATTATTCCAACTGTTTCTGTTTCCTTTCAATTTTTTGCACGAGTTCACCTGGTCATATGGCAATTCAATCAGCAGGCAACTGATTTTATGTGATAATTTTTCCAAATGATTATGTCCTAGTGTATAGTGAACCGAAAATGCATTTAGCTGTTATTTTCATTTCCATGTATGAAACTTATATTCTGAAAATATGCAGATGCTGCTCGATACACAAGCTGTAAAAACAATTCTTCTGGAAATTCCTTCCCTTGGAAAACAGGTAAGATAGCAGAACCTAAAGAGGCAGCCACTAATTATATTTAGTACTGCCAAAAAAATAAAACATGTTTTAAACATCATTGTTTTGTCACGTCATCTTTGAAGGGCTTACAATTTTCTCGATTTTTATCATTTTTCTGCAAATGAAGGCAAGTAGGAGTTGCACATCTATCCTTATCTTCCGAATTTCGCCTACTTGTTCATTCAAGGAGTGGCCAAATAAAGCATAGATATCTCCTTATTAGAGACTTAACTTGAAAAATGGCAATTTATATCTTAAGTGATTAAAGGCTGATTGCTGTAGATTTCTGTGGAGTGTGAGCTATTGGAAGTCAATAGAACGGCACCAACTATAAACTTGCATAATAATCTTAAGTCTTCCCCTTCCTTCTGCTTTTACCACATCAAAATTTTGAATTCCGAAAGTCCTTCTCAAAACTTCATTCTTAACAGGTTCTAAGTTATGGTATCATTTTCACCTTGATGAGATGAACGCCCTGAAAACGAATGATTTGTTTCTCTGTTCAGGTATCTGCTGTTACTGGCTACTCAAAATTCGTAAGCCGCGAAATGAGCAAAGCTGAAGCACTCTTAAAGGTATAATTTCATTTCACTAAATTTTTTTGTTACTTAAAAGCGGTGCTTATCCATACCCTTTCCCCGTCCAGGTCATATTGTCCCCTATAGACTCTGTAGCAGATACATATTGTGCTCTGCTGCCTGAGGGTACACCTGGAGAGTTCCAGCGGATTCTCGATCTAAAGGTTCTTCTCTCCCGTCAACAACTTTCTTGAATTTGTTTTTTCAGCAAATACTCTAAATCAATAATTCAAAATATTTATTTTTCGCTAACTCATGATATATACATGCTTATCTCGATGAAAAGTTTGGGTTCCTCTTATCTTATATATATTACGTTGCTGGTGTATAATGACGATATTTTGCATCATAATTTTGTTATTTTGCTAAGATTTGTATCTTCTTGCTTATATTTTTGTTTTCATTTAAATCGCTATTTTAGGGCCTCAAAAGGGTTGACCAACAAAGCATACTAGACGATTATAACAAACGTGGAGCAGGGACTTATCAACCATCCATGAAGACAGCAATTCCAGCCACATCTAACACCTCGATTGCACCTAATCCATCGACAAATGCAGGAATAATTCCTCTGAAGGAAGAAATAGTGGCAAGAGCTGCTGCACTTGGGAGAGGTGCTGCCACAAACGGAATCAGGAGAATTCTAGCTTTGACCGAGTCAACTACCAGAGACCGTAAAGATGGACCCCTCAGAAAGCTCTTCACTGGTTGATCAAAAAACGTGAAGGCGTTAACATCATTTGCCCTACTCTGGTTAGGTTTTGTTTCCTCTCTTGGAGTGCCGTATAATATCTTTCTAACTTATTGTCTTTATATTTACTCATAAGAAACTTTTTTATAGTATGGGAAGTAACGAAGTTACATCATGTGCCTACTCTGGTTAGGTTCCTTTCCTTTCTCTCGAGTTTTTTTTTTGGGGATTTCTTGATATGCAGCTTCCTGATTAGTAATTTTTTTTTTTCCGAGTTTTCTATTTGCGAACTTAAGAATGTATTTATTTGTGTACTTATATGCGATGTATGGCTCTTTTTTTGCAACAATTTGATGAATTGAAAGTATCATGTGCAGTGCATATATTTAGAAGTTGAGTATGCTAGTAATATTTGCCAACTGCTTTATATAGATTTTAAACTTTAATTTACTTTTTTTCAGAACATAGTTTCCGTTCTCCTCCGACTTCTAATTTCAGAACCTTCTTGTGTTGATGCCCGAAAATGTTGTCGGACGCGTTTTTTTCGAAAATGTTTGTCGGAACACGTCTTTGAAAAACGTTGTTTGGCGAAAAAGAAATATTGAAACACGTTTCGAGGTAAATAATTAAGTATTGCAACGTGTTTCGTTGGAACACGTTTTTATGACTAGTAGCATATTTTTTAAGTGGAAATGAAGTGTAGTTGTAATTCTGATATATAAAGTGAAGGGTATTCCCGACATTTCAGTGTAGGTAGGGAGTTAACTGTAATCGAAACTTAAAATCCAAGTATAGTACGTACCAGCAACTGAACCGTACATGAAACTAGTCGAAATACGCCCTAGAAATTTGAAATAATATTTATCGTTACACATTTTAATATCGAGCTTTTATTAGCAAGTAGGTTAACATAAATATGTTAAAAGCCTAACCTAAGACACAAAGCTAAAGTTAATTAAATAGGTAGGGGCCGTGCTTTATAATTCTAGCCACTGCATAAATCTTTGTCAAGTTGTGACAATGGATTATGGCTGTCTTTAATTAGGTAGGCTGAAACATCAACCCTACTAATTATCAAAAAAAAAAAAAAAAACATCAACCCTACTTTTATTTTATCTATATGTATATTCGATCTACGGTTTATTAAATAAATATATTTTAATTTATTGATAATTTTTAGGGTTAATTACACCCACACCCCTGTGGTATGCTAAAATAATTTTAAGGTCCCTGTAGCTATTCCGATAGAATTCTAACGGACTATTCCGATAGAATAACGTATCCAATGCATTATTCCATTGGAGTTTCTAATTAAGTTTCAGGGGGGCGAGTGTAATTATCGATACCAAGGGATCTTAAAGTTATTTAAGCATACCTCAGAGGTGATGGTGTAATTTACCCTAATTTTTATTGTCACTTTGTACTAAATAATTAACCCTCTATTTTCCCATATAATTTGTGGGAATGATGATTAGGACCTGCATTAACAGTTAATTAAGTAAGCATGATTGTTATACCTGGCAGGTAGTTTATCTTGGATCTTGAGCTAAGCAGGTTAAATATTGGTTTTGTTAGTATATATGTTGTCTCTTTTATCATTAAGAATATTCTTTTGTCCATTCACAATTAGTATATTAATTTCACAATATATAGATTAACAAATCACATGCATAAAACCTAGAAACACAAGATTAAAATAAAAAACGATTATTCATAATTAACACGAAAAGGATCTCGTCTCTTGTTCCATTTTCTTCTACTCGAAAACAAAGCATGAAAAAAGAAAAACAAGAAAAAAAAAAGGGATTTAAATTATAATAATAACAGGAATAATTAGTAAATATTAATAATAATTAAACATGGTTGCTGCTCCTGAATGAACCAAGTGCTTTAACTGCTCCTGCCCTCAATATGAACTGGTGGTAGAATGCTGCAATGGCTGCACCAATGAAGGGCCCTACCCAAAAGATCCACTGCAACACATTTCATAAATTAAATAAATAAATGTAATTAAATAACCAGATGAAATTGATTTAAAGATGCAAATAATTTTGGTACATGGTCATTCCACCCGGCATCGTTATTCAAGATAACTGCAGCTCCAAGACTCCTAGCTGGGTTAATTCCGGTGCCGGTGATCGGAATTGTGGCCAAATGAACCATGAATACTGCAAATCCAATGGGTAGAGGTGCCAATACCTACATATTTATATATGTAATTAAACCTCTATAAATTAATGGAGTTAGGATAAACAAAATTCTATTAATTTAACAGAATATTAAATTATTAAACTAATAATTTAATATGTTTTTACCGAGTTGGGAACCGCTCGGAACCAGAAGAAATTATTATTTTAGCGAGATTATTAATTTATCTAAGTTCTACTGGTGTATATAGCATTCTCAAATTATTATTCATTATATTAATCACGAAAATAAAATAATAAAATCACTATATACTAAATTAAATTGCTCGATATAAGCTTGGTTGTTGTCCCAAAGGACAACATTGTAATTTCCCTTTCAAAAGTTAATTCAATGACATCACAAACAAAGTATACGTATGATTTTCAAAACCATTAATTAATCTTTGTGGAATTTAGCAAACATGTTATTTTATTTATTTAGGGATTGTGGTAATTAATTAACTAACAGAAGGACAACCTAGTTTTCATACCACATGACAAAAACTAAAAATGCACTCCATTCTTCTCTGCACTTTTCTTGAAATAGTTTCACATATGATTTATACTCAACGATAATAGAATCACTGATGTACATGTGAATGTGCATAAAATATGTATAAAACCCGATAAAATTACCTAGAATAAGTCTGATATACATGTGAATGTGTGTAAAATATGTATAAACCCCGATAAAATTACCTAGAGGGTCCGATATACATACGAATGTAAATATGTATAAAACCCGATAAAATTACCTAAAGAAGGTCCGATGATATACGTGTGAATGTGCGTAAAATATGTCTAAAATCAGATAAAATTACCTAGAGTGTGACATACAACAAAGAGTGGGGGCCTAATATATATATATATATATGTGTGTGTATGGTACTAAATTCCAAAGTCACTTTACAGAATTTGAGGAGTGAATTTCTTGAAAAGATGCATCCCAAAGTTGTAACGCACATTTTCTTTACTATGACTCAGATTTTCACTATTTCACACGTAGTGGGTGGTGTATCTACACGTACTAAAAAACATGTATTTTTTAAATATATATATTTACACACGTGTTACTATGTGTGTGTGTGAAGTGAGTTCTTACAGGGACGTGAGAATCTCTGGCGCTCCTTTTGGGGTCAGTGGCGGAGAAAACGGTGTAGACAAGAACGAAAGTTCCGATGATCTCGGCGGCGAGCCCAACTCCGGTGCTGTAGTCGGCGGAGAGCCCATTAGCGCCGCCGCCGTACTTCTTGTATAGCGAACTCTGGAACGCCTTAACAAGCCCAACTCCACAAATCGCCCCCAAACACTGCGCCACCATGTACATCACCGCCCTCACCAACGACACTTTTCGGGCCAAGAAAAGCCCGAATGTCACCGCCGGGTTTATATGCCCCCCTTCACAAATATTTATAAATATTTAATTATTATTATTATTATTATTATTATTATTAAGAAATAAAAAAAATTAAAAGAAAAAAAGTGCGACAGACCGGAAATTCCAGCGGTGCAGTAGACGAGAACGAAGATCATGCCGCCGAAGGCCCATGCAATGCCGAGAATTCCGACGCCGCCGCACTCGTCCACCGCCGCCTGGCTCTTGTACCCGATCACCGTCGCGACGGTGATGTACAGGAAGAGAAGAGTAGCTATGAACTCAGCTATGACAGCCCTGTAGAAGGACCACTTCGTCAGCTCCTCCGCGTCGATCAGCGGCGCCGGCGGCGGATCGTGGTAGTCCTTCGCGCCGAAAGAGCCTTGCTCCGCCACGTCCTTCGCCATCCCGCCGCTTAGAGAGAGAAAAAAGTTAGAGAGAGAGAGAGTGTAGTTGTAGTGAGAGAGTATAGAAGCAAAGAAGGGGGTGGAGGGGGGTATTTATGGGTGGTGGAAAAGATTAAGTGAATAATTAGTAATAATATAATATGATTATGTTAATTAATTAATTAATTAAATTAAAATATTATATTAATTTAAAATGAGGTGGAAATTGGGCCGTCCAATGGGCCACCGACCCACGAGAGATGTGGGCCCACCATCTTTTCCATCATTTTCTGTGTTTTAACGGCTACCTATTCTCTAGTGCGATCCATATTCACCAAATTCCCAAATTATGCATATAAAATATGGCAAATTACAAATAACTCCATACGGTAAAGTCTAATTACGAAAATATCCTCATTATTTTTTTGTATTTATGAATATCATTTTGAGGTATTCTCTGTATTGTGAGAAGTCAAAATACTATTATACGAGAGTGTTGATTTACTCAGTGCATCTTTAAACTTGGTTGGTGGTTGTGGATTTTTTTGTTAAAAAAAGTAAAAAATAAAAAAAAATTCATTAATTGGTCATAAATATAAGTTGTGAAAGATAACTGAAAAATCAAGAAACATGAAAAGAGTTTCTGTTCAATTTTTCTTTTTCCCCCATGTATTAATATATATGTTCATTGCGTGGTCGTTGAGCTGCTAGACCCGGTGAAATGTACGGAGTGAATGACACATATTAACACGTGGTGAAATATTTTTTCTTTAAATACACATACTCATGCGTGTGTACTGATCAACGATTAGTAAGTATTTGGTGTATTTCATGGAGTGTAGCATAGAATAAACCGACATTGTGGTGTGATAAAGACTCTTGCAAAGTGGACCCTAAAAATCTGATTTTAATGGTACACATTTACTATTGAAAATCCAAAATCTGATTTTTTGCAATTACTAATGCTGAATTTTCAGTTTGAGACAGGGTTCATTGAAAGAGGTGAAATTTAAAATAAAAAATAAAAAATAAAATAAAAACTACTCACTTGTTGTGTATTGAAACATAGATTTGACTTAATCATTTATTATGTAGTGTTACTAAATAAAAAATTCACTGTGCTAATAAATATTAGCAAAAAAAAAATCAGTAATGCAATTTTTTTATTTTGGTAAAAAAAATCGTTTTTAAATTTTACAAATTTTAATTTCCAATATTTTATTTCCAGATAATTCCTGTAAAATTTTGAGAAAAATAATATAGGACACGTGGAGGGCTGTGAATCACTCCTTGGTCTTCTGAGAAAATAAATAGCAGTGGAAAATGAGGGCTTTCATTCAAGGCCTGTGATCAATTGGCGGTTGGGCTTGTGGGCCCAAACCTATCCTCACTTTTTCAATATTGTGTTGATTGTGAAAGATTTGGACAATTTTTTTTACCAATTAAAATATAGTAATTATTTTATATTTATATATTGCACAATAAAGTGAGTTCTCATCTCATAGTGGAAAATAAATGAAGAAATAAGAATAAGTAAAATCTATTATTTTTTGGGTAAATTACATATACCTTCTTGAAGTAAGACTAAATAGCTTACAAATTCCATAGTATTATTATTACAGATACATCCTTAAAACTAGCAGCCGCCTATTATAATTTTATTCGACAAACAAACTATGGGTAAGTTACGCGTACTCTTAGGAGTAAATTGGAAAATTCATAACAAATATTCCATGAAATTTTCAAGATTTTGTCGCTCAATAACTCCTTAAATGTGTAGTTGTAAAACGGGGAAATAGCTAAGGGTGTATTTGTAATTAACAATACAGATAGATATGTAAGTTATTTAATTTTACCTCAAAGACACACGTACTTTACCCTAATTTTGTTTTTTTGGCTCAACAGTAATCCAATGTAAAAAAGTCCAGACGAGTTGAATTTCATATTGCTCGAGTTTATATAATTTTTTTATATCTTCACCAAATTTATACTTGAATCTGTTATTCAATTATTGAATTGAATGTGACTTATCAAATCAAGTTTGAATTGAACTTTATCAATCACATTGGTCTAGAAATATAGCTTTTTTAAGAATGAAGTAATCAATTCCATAGATTC